TTCTCCACTGTCGTACATTTCACGTGGTGGTTTACTCTGTGGAATATGAAATTCGTTTTAGAATAGACCATCAGGAAAATGCGGTAGTAGGCTTCTTACATAAGCATTGCTGTTTTCAGTCTTTAATGCTCAAATCAGAAAAGAATTCAAAAACTGCGACCAGTGCAGGTATCACAACGGCCATCCGCTGTTATCCAAAACACTGACACATTCCTTTCATTTGTTTTCTATAGAACTATCTGACGGATAGCTTAAAATAACCCTTGGGAAAAAATAGCGTTTGTATTTGGAAATGATAAGAGGAAATATCACGCATAGTTTTTTAAAATTTACTGACGCTACATCAGTTTATGTTCTAAATACACAATCAGAAGATAAATATTTCCCCGAGGTTCCTGTCATTATGTTAACAGAACGCTCTGAGAAAAATGTAACTATTAAAATGCCATCTTGAAATCAAACGCAAGATGTAACAGTCACAAAAAACATGCTGCTGGTTCAAGAGCACGATTTAAAATTACTTTCGTTTGTTTCTCAGAAAATAACTGTTGATTACCATTTTCAGGCCACTGGAATCGTCACATGGAGCTCCCTAATGGACCACGTGCTCAAGGTCTCTCAGTGAACTATATAACTTATCCTCAGCAAAATTTTATTCTTCTTTGTAAGGCCTACGCAAATTATCTCGATTTTTTGGAATAAGCCTACGAAAAAACTTACGTTGATCGTATATATGTCCATGGCCTCAACATATTCATTTCCTTAATGTCTTTTGGAACCTCTGTATATTTTTTCAGATCACACAATTTAAAATTATGGACACGTTGAAAGTGTTTATCCAATTTATCTGGTAGAATTTTGCTGGACAAGTTACAAAGTGGCAGTATGTAACGATCATCGAAAGACATATGCGATAACAAGACACCTCTATATTTCGGATTAAGTGCGCTCGGCTTCTAAGAATTAATAATATCAGTCAAAATTAAGCTCTTCAAGACTAATGGTTTTTCCAAAATGTAATGGTTTTCAAACTAAATGAACACTCGTTGTTAATTTTTGTAGGTAGCTTTAACGAGCTAAAACAATCGCCTAAAATACGACTCGTAACAACAGACGAAACAGATGATCATCCACTAGACTGTGGGCCACTTCACCTCAAAAAGTATACCAAGCCGAGAAGCTGTCTTATGAAATACCGAACAGGCAAGTTCCAGAATGTAGTTTTTGTGACGCTAGCCGAAGCCCAGGTGTCACCACCTAATTACGTCTTGTATGAGCTCCCCAAGGAAGAAAACGAAAAAAGAGGGAAAAAGCAGAGGTCTTAGAGCGTAATTGTTTCCACATATTTAGGGCAAAAAACGCATGTAAAACTATGTCCGTCGGGCCAATCAGCTTCTGTCCTGGTGTGGGTAGCGACACAATTGGCTTTAAATTATTGATTGACTGACTGCCACTATGCGTTTGACGCGGGTAGGCCGATAGGCAGCCTGTCGTGGGCGCGGCTCGCTACCTTAATGCTAGCTGCCTGCTAGCACTTCGCTAGGTTCCTCATTAAACACCCCCTTTTGAGACGAATCGTAAGATTTGAACTGCGGGTTCACTCGTAACGGAACCGTTTGCATTCTTTTCCAGTCTGAGCGTCCAGGGGCTTGGGGAGGTCGGCTATTAACTGGAACTGTGGTTTCTTGCCTTGGTTTTGGCAGGTCGAATGTGTCCAATAGTAGTTACAGTTATAAAGATGGGCTTGGATTGGCAAGTTAGCATATTCAGTGTGTTTCAACTGGTTGGCGTGCCGCGCCCAAATATCGGAGCCGACCCGATTCTCGTACGCGATGGCACCACACCTTCGGTGGATACGTCCAATTGTCCACTTTTCCCGATTGTTTCTGTAGTCCTTTGCCAACACTACATGACCACATGGAACAATCG